TGCCAAATTTTCTCCACACACGCTTGTCAGATTCTTCATTCTCTATATTGTAGATATGACGTGAAAAGATGGAGCTATAAGTACCATGGCATACAATCTGAAGGCAATTTATATCATCAACTATGTCATAAAGATTAGCTAATGCAATTGTTTAGACATGTTCGTGTCCAGGATGTCTTTCTGCGCAAATGCACATAAACATACTGATATGATCCTGGATAGTCCGGGCAAAATGGAGAATATTGAGAATGACCCCAAATTATCTAGTGGACCATTGACCTGCTCCAAGTCCAAGAACGTCTAAGGAATGCACGCTAAGGAGCTGCATGATCTTCAACAATTGACTAGAAGATGTTTGGAGAGTTACTTGGAGGATTCATGCAAAGAATACCATGTTTGGAGTCTTGAGAATTGAATAATCAAGACCCCAAGTCAAACCGTGTGACACGGTTTCACCAACTGTTGGCTACGGTTCAAGAGGGGCCTGAAGAGCTGAAGAAAATAAGGTTCTGGAATTCGTCACGGTTCAGCTATGTGTTACGGTTGGGGTTACAATTGGGGCTACGGTTTGGCATGGCGAGATTTTTTGGGAAATTAACTTTGAAACTTTTCCTATTTTACCCATTGGGTATTTATAACAACCTAAGGTTATTTCATTAGTAGCTCAACATATTTTGAGATAAGAAAACTCTTTGAGAAAAGATTTGGAACCTCTTGGTTCGAGTTCGACTTTGGATTACCTGTTTTTAAGACTTGGGTTCTTGAGGGTAATCTTCTTCTCCTTTCTTTATATTTAGGGTTCTAATTTGTCGTTCTTGGGAGGCGATCGGATAGTTTTTCGATTGTTGCTTGAGACGTTCACTTAGGGTACTAGATTTTCTTCCAAATTTCATTATTCAGACTACTTTTGATTATCTTAATCAAACCTATCATTAGTTTTTGCTTTAATTATTGTTATATTCATATTCCGTTGTTTTGTTTATCTCAGATCGTATCACATACTCATGCTTATCTGATTACACGTAGTGCCATAGTGGCACCTGACAAACTTAAGAGACAATAAATGCCGCGTGATTTTCATTAAACAAGACATGGACTGTAGGATAACTTTCTTTTTATTAATGACGGTGGTGTACGGGTAAGCTTGCGTGCATTTCAATTATTCCACCGGGTAGGATATCTATTTTCAGAAACTCATGCATCCTAAGACCATTTCCCTCTTTATCTTAAATCGTGCCAAACTGCTTGTGTGATTGAACTTACCAAGCGGGATTTTTCTTTTCTCACCGTTAATACTGGGAAAATTCATGAAACGTGCACATCAGAGTTCCAAAAAGAAAAAAAAGATGCCACAGATGCCATGTACCATCTATGATCTAACCAACAAAAATATCCACCAAGTCGCCGACGAAAATTAAAAAGAATTCAAAGCGTACGACAAAAATCCTGTCCTCCACCCCCCCCACACTACTCACATTACAAGGAACACACCTACGTAGATTACTCTTCAGGAGATAACCCACC